TCTTAGTCTTGGAAGGGGTGGATCATTTCTTTTTGGTACAGTAAGTGTGTATTCCTTCCATCTTTTTTTTTTTTTTAATGTTTTATTGTGAATTATGTGATAGTGTACATGGTAGAACATTAGTTTTATATCCTTCCATCTTCTTTTGATGCTTCCAGCATCAAAATATCAATATTTTGCCAGTAGAATCCGTCAGTATTGAAAGTCGAGACTCAAATTTTTTCATTCAGTTCTTTCAGCTTGAGAAATGCTGAGTGAATTCTGCCCTTTTGTTTTTCTAACTCCAGGTCTTTGCACGTTTCATTATAATATTTGACTCTGTCTTCTCGAGCCGCCCTTTAAAATCCATTCAGCTGTTTCACTTCCTCATTTTTCCTATTTGCTTTAGTATCTCTATGCTAGAGAATAAATTTCAGAGTCTTTTCTGACATCCATTTTGTTCTTTTCCTTCTTTCTTGTCTTCTTAATGACCTTTTGTTTCCTTCCAGTATGATGTTCATGATGTCATCCCACAACTCTTCTGGTCTTCTATCTTTAGTGTCTAATGCTTCAAATATGTTCTTGAAATGATTTCTAAATTCAGGTGCCATATGTTCAAGGTCAAATATTAGTTCTCGTGGATTTGTTTTAATTTTCTTCAGCTTCAGCCTGAACTTGCATATTGATGGTCTGTTCCACAGTCTGCCCCTGGCCTTGTTTTAACAAGTGATATGAATCTTTTCCACCATCTCTTCCCACAGATGTAGTCAACTTGATTTCCATGTATGCCATCAATCTAGTGAGGTCCATGTGTATAAAGTCATCTTTTATGTTGTTTAAAATAGGCATTTGCAATGAAAACGTCATTAGTCTTGCAAAATATTCTATCATGCGATCTCCAGCATCATATCTATCACTTAGGTCATACTTTCCAGCTACTGATCCTTCCTCCTTGTTTCCAACCTTTCCATTCCAGTCACCAGTAATTATCAATACATCTTGATTATAGGTTTGATCAATTTCAGACTGAAGAAGTTAGTTGTTGTTGTTATGTGCTGTCTGTTACAACTCATGTATAAGGTTTTGGAGACTTCAAATCTTTGTGGGAGCAGAAAGCCTCACCATTCCCTCATGGAGCAGCTGATGCACTCAAACTGTGGACCTTGGGGTTCACAGTCCAGTGCTCATCGCATGGGGCCAGCACACAGAATTCCTCATCAACACTGGCTTTAGTGATTGGTGCGGTAATGTGACCAATAGTGGTATTAACTGGTCTTCATTGTAGATGTATGGATATTATCCTATCAAAGACAGCATTATAGCTCATGATAGATGTGGAAATGTTTTTGATGATGAAGAGACGCCATTTCTCTTCAATTTGTCATTCCCAGCATATGATTCCTAACTATATGATTCTCAGATTCAAAATGGCTAATACCAGTCCATTTCAGCTCACTAACGCTTAGGATATCAATCATTATGTGTTCCATTTCATTTTTGACAACTTCCAGTTTTCCTAGATTCGTACTTCATACATTCCATGTTCTGATTACTAATGGATGTTACAATTGTTTCTCCTCATTTTGTTTCATCCTCATTGTTGTTGTTGTTAAGTGCCGTAAAGTCGATTCCGACCCATAACGACCCTGTATATTAATTAGATATAATTTATTCTCTCACCAAATACTCACAGTCCTATGAAGGAGGGACCCATTTGTCAGATAAAGAGGCTGGGGGTTTAATTAAGGAGGTTTAATCACTCAACGGCACTTAACAACAACAACAATGAAGCTGCCAGCTAATAGAATTTGAACTCAGGTCCACCTGAGTTTCTCATCAGACGCGGGGTCCCTGGGGACAGGCACCATGTCCAGAAGAGGGAGCCACTCAGAAGCTCACAGTATGGGGCCAGTCTTCATCCCTCCTCAATGGCCTCTAGCATTTTCAAGCCTGAGCACAGGCTGACCTGGGAAGCTGGGAGAACACAAACAGGACCATGGAAATTCAGCCACTAATGACCCCAAGCACCAGCACCAGGGCCACCAAGATGACCACTTCCAGAGGGATTGACTTGGCCTGTCAGAGGGAAGCAGTGGGTGATCTGTGCAAGGACCACTCAGACACCTCAGGGTAGGGCATCTCCAGAGGAGCCAGGCCTGGTACCCTTCCTCCACATTACCCTTCTTTCTGTCACTTACCTGGTTGCCCAAAGGACAAAGGGGGAAGATCACTGACCAAGAATGACCCCAAGCCCAGGACATGAGGTGCCCACAAATAGGACTTCTACGGGACTGACTATGGGCGGGGCCATATGCCACCCCCAGGGAGCAGGGGCTGGCCTTTCACCCCTCGTCCTCAGACCTAGGACCACAGGTTCCAGCTGGGAGCTCAGAGACCACCTGTGCTGCTGACACACCCTCACCTCCTCTGCACCATTCAATGCTGAGCCCTAGGCTGGAATCAGGCAATATCCTAGCCTTCACAGGGCAAATATTTACTGGATAAATGATCAGGAATCAAGTTGACTATATTTGTGGGAAGAGATGATGGAGAAGCTCAGTAACATCAGCCACAATGATCAACACTGACTGCTAACTGCAAAGTCAGAAGTTCCACCCCACTAACCATTCTTTGGAAGCCCGGTGCAACATTGCCAATGAGTCGGAACTGATTTGACTGTACTTAACAAAACAAGGACAGGGGCTGACTGTGAAACAGATCAACAATTTCTCATATGCAAATTCAGATTATAAAGAAAATTAAAACAAGTCCACGAGAGCCAAAATACAACGCTGAGTTTATCCCACCTGAATTTAGAGACCATCTCCAGAACAGATTTGACACATTAAACAATAATGACAGAAGACTAGAAGAGTTGTGGGATAACATTAAAAACATTATACATGAAGAAAACAAAAGGTCATTAAAAAGACAAGAAAGAAAGACCAAAGTAGGTGTCAGAAAAGACTAAATCTTACTCTTGAACATAGAGTAGCTAAAGCAAATAAAAGAAATGAGGAAGTAAAAGAGCTGAATAGAAAATTTCGAAGGGCAGCTCAACAAGACAAAATCAAGTATTATAATGAAAAGTGCAAAGATCTAGCATTAGAAAACCAAAAGGGAAAAGCATGCTCAGCCTTTCTCCAAGCTGAAAGAACTGAAGAAAAAAAAATTCAAGCCTCAGCTGGTAATATTGAGGTACTCTATAGGCAAAATACTGAATGATGCAGAAAACATCAAAAGGAGATAGAAGGAATACACAGAGTCACTTACCAAAAAGAACTGGTCAACGGTCAACCATTTCAGAGTATAGCAACTAAACAAGAACTGATGGTACTGAAGGAAGAAATCTAAGATATTAGTGAAAAACAAGGCTCCAAAAATTGATAGAATACTAACTGAAATGTTTCAACTAACAGGTACAGTGCTGGAAGTACTCACTAGTTTATGCCAAGAAATTTGGAAGACAGCTACCTAGACAACTGTTTTGTGTGTGTCTTTGTGTGTCCATTCCAAAGAGAGGTGATCCAACAGAATGCTAAAATTATCAAACAGTATCATTAATATTATATGCAAGTAAAATTTTGCTGAAGATAATTTAAAAATGGTTGCAGCCGTACATCAGCAGGAAGCTGTCAGAAATTCAAGCTGGATTTGAATCCACAGAAGAGGATGTGGATTGTGGGATATCATTGCTGATGGCAGATGGATCTTGGTTAAAAACAGAGAATACCAGAAAAGATGTTTATGTGTGTTTTACTGACTATGCAAAAGCATCCAACTGTGTAGGTCATAACACACTATGGAAAACATTATGAAGAATGGGAATTTCAGAACACTTACTTGTGCTCATGCAGAACCTGTACATAGACCAAGATGTAGTCGTTCAAACAGAACAAGGGAATATTTTGTGGTTTAAAATCAGAAAATGTGTACAGCAAGATTGTATTCTTTCATCATACTTACTCAATCTGCATGCTAGCAGATCACTTGAGAAACTAGACTATGTGAAGCATCATGGATTAGAATTGGAGGAAGATTCATTAACAACAAGTGAAGAAGACTTGAAGTACTTATTGATGAATAGCAAAGAAAACAGCCTGCAGTATGGACCACAACTCAATGTAAAGAAAATAAAAATCCTCACAACTGGACCAATAAACAACATTATTATAAACCAAGAAAAGATTGAAATTGCCAAGAATTTCATTTTACTTGAATCTATAATCAACACTCACGGAAGCAGCAGTCAATAAATAAACAGTGAATAAGGAAGACTTGAGAAGAGTTGATACATTTGAATTATGGTGCTGATGAAGAATATTCAAAGTATCATGGATTGTCAGAACAAACAATCTGTCTTGGAAGAAGTACAGCCAGAATGCCCCTTAGAAGCAAAGATGGCCAGAGTTCATCTCTTATAATTCAGACACATTATCAGGAGTGACCAATCCCTCCAGAAGAACAGCATGCTCAGTGGAAAAAAAAAATGTCATGCTCAGCAAAAAAGAGGAAGACCCTCAATAAGATGGGTTGACACAGTGGCTGCGACAATGGGCTCAAACATAACAACTGTGAGGATGGTGTAGAACTGGGCAGTGTTTCATTCAGTGGCACCTAACAACAACAACAACAACAACATAATAGTAATAACAAGATAATGATGACAGCCAGCACTCATTGGGTACCTTCCCTGCTTTCAGATTTTTGTTCCTCGCAACCACTCTGTGAAGAAAGGCAGTCAATTCCCATTTTACAGATAAATAAACTGAGGGTCCCTGATGTCAGGTAATTTGTTCACTAGCACATACCATTAAGAGGAGGACTTGGGCTTGAACCCACAGCTGTCAGACTCTAAACCCCTAGCTGTGATAACAAAGAGAGTCACCTACAAAAATAAAGGCGATGTGTGGGGTCCTTAGAGAAAACTATGGCCACAAGGGGAAATTGAAATCACTGGCCCGAGGTCACGTGGTGAGCAATGGCAGAGCCCACTCTGAGCTCAGCTGGGAGCCTCTCACCTTTCGCCACAGGAGCTGGGCCTGTGGCATGCCGGTGACCTCAATCTCATGGCGCATACTGTTGAAGAGAGCGACGCCATACTGGTCCTCATAAAAATGGAGGAACTCTGTCAGAATCTTCCCGGTTTTCTCTGAAAAGGAAGGACAAACAGGAATATGAGATCCTCACAGTTACTGACATGCATCAACCCTTCCCTCAGGGAGAAGCACCACACCAGCAAAACCTCAAATTCCTGAATGTGAAATTGTTTGTACAAGCTCCTTGCTTTCATCTGAATCACATTTCTAGCCAGAATAGAGTAGTTTCTGCGCACACATCATCACTGGCTAGTTAACCAACTGCCATGGGAAAAGGTAAACCACCCCACAAGGAAAATAGGCAACAGCCATAAACAGGAAAACTGCCAAGCAGAAAACACAAAAAGCCAACAGACAAATAAATAAGATGTTCAGCCTCATTAATAACCAAATGCCTGCAAAGTGGACCAAGATTCCACGCTCCCCTGTCTGACTGGCCAAGATTAACACAATTTATGTTAATACCCAAGGACCTCCAGTAGCAGTAGCGTAGTAGTAGAATTAGAATCAAGTTGGGCTGCTAAACTCAAGGTCAGCAGTTCGAAACTACCAGATGAGGCTTTGGAACGAACTCCTCAGCTCACCACCATGTTAAGACCCAGGGCTGATGAGGATGTGGAAACCTTACACTCTCACTCAGAGCCACAACATTGTAGGTTGGGTCAGGCCTTTCAGAGGATGACTGGGGGTGGCATGCACAATTTTAGGGATAAATTTTGCACTCTCTGATGTTGAGCTCACCTCCAAGAATCTACTCCATGGGCTAACTCACAGGAGAACAGGGATGTGTAGACACTGGGACAATCACTGGAAACAACCTAAATGTGCATCTTTAGGGGATGGTTCAATAACTAACGGTTCACTCCAAACTTGTTGCTGTTGAGCCAATTCCGACTCGTGGTGACCTCTGGGACAGAGTAGAATGACCTCACAGTGTTTCCAAAACTGTAGTTGCTATGGAAGCAGACTATCACACCTTTCTCTCATGGAGCGACTGGTGGGTTCGAACTGCTGACCTTTGGGTTAGCTGCTGTATGTTTAACCATTGCATGACCAGGTTCCTTCCCTCAGAACATTAAAAATTTTTAGAGGAATTACATAGACCAACCAAGGGAAGGTGTCCACCCTGTGTTAAGCAAAGAAGTGCATGCACAATATTGTATATTTGAAAAAAGCATTCCTGTTTCTGTACGTAAATTATTTATGCTTAGATATTTATAGATAGAGGTCTAGGAGGCAACACACCATACTAACGGTGGGACCCCCTGGATGTGGGGCTGCAGAGAAGATATCACTTTTGGCTTTAATTACTTTTATAGCGTTTGAATTATTTTACAAGCATGACTCCTTGTACAATTAAAAATAAACATTCTAAAATTAACTTCTTTATCAAGCTGACAGTATTTTCCGCTTTCACTGCTCTTTTGCTTCTGTCTTCTGCTGCAGCGGTTTCTGAACAGGGAGGAGCACTGTGGTTTCCAGAGTGAGCCCAGCACATACCAGGTGCTCACATTTGAGTCTCCCTATTTACACAAGGAAGGAGCTCTGGTGGCATAGTGGTTACAAATCGAACTGTGAACCACAAGGTCAGCAGTTTGAAACTATCAGCTGCTGCTCTGCTGAGAGAAAGACGGGGGAGAAAGATGAGGCTTTCTGCTCCCGTAAAGATTTACAGCCTTGGAAACCCTGTTTAGGGTCGCTATGGGTCGGAACTGATTCGACGGCACTTAACAACAATTTACACAAGGAGCTCTGGTAGCGTAGTGGTTACAAATCAGGCTGCGAACCTCAGTTCGAAACTACCAGCTGTCCTGTGGGAGACAGATGAGGCTTTCTGCTCCCGTAAAGATTTACAGCCTTGGAAACCCTATACAGGGTCGCTATGAGTTGGAATCAACTCCACGGCACATAACCAACCAACCAATTTACACAGGACTCCCTGATGTGGCGCTGTGGGTTAATGCGCCAGACTGCAAAGCCATTTGAACTGCAAGGTTGGCAGTTGAAGCTCACCAGCTGCTTCTCAGATACACTACACAGGGTTGCTATGGGTCGGAACCGACTCGATGGCACTTAATAACAACAACATTTACACATTATGAAACTGAAGCCCACAGAGGACGGGACCCACACTAAGTTGGCTTCTCGGTAAGCCCTTCCCATTCTTGAGAAGCTATAGCTCCAGTCCTGACCTGGCATTTGTCCTGGCTTCCCTCTCTGGGCCTCAGTTTCCCTCCTGCAGAGACAGAGGGCTGGACTCAATGACAGGCAGGCCCTGCCATCTCCAACCGTCTTGGATTCCAGATTTTGAGGTAAGGGCTGGCATGACCTCCCATCCTGCAGTGGTCCTATGGGCATCCAGCTAAGATGGTAAGGGCTAGAGCTATTTTCACTTTAATAAAAACAAAAAGTATCGCCATTGAGTCGATCCCAACTCACGGCAGCCACGTGTGCAAAGGAGACCTGCACTCCAGAGGGTATTCAAGGTTCAGACCTTTCAGTTAGTAGTTGCGTCACCCAGGGACTCACCATTCTGCAGAGAATGAAATGAGAACCAGAGAAGTTACGTTTCTGACACAAGGTCACACAGCTACTGGACTGCAGAGGGGTGAAGTCCTGGGTCCAGCAGGAAGCAGCAGCTGGGAAGGAAGGCTGAGAGTCCTGCCAAGTCCACACCCACAGACAGCCCCATAGCAGCCCACCCCTGCCCCCAGCCTCAGTGAGGGAATGGGGATTTATTCCATCTAGGGCATCTCCAACCCTCGATCAGAGTCCAGATTCCGATCTGGGAGAAGGAGGGGAGAACAAATGAGGAATTTGCTTTGAATGCCTATTTTTTAAGCACCATAAACAATTAGAACTCTCTCAGAGACCTTGGGAATTGTTTTGAAAAAGTGATGAGGTAGGGTAGGGGGTAGGCTAATAATGACTTGGGGCCAAAAAGAGAAAATTCAATAGCAGAACAAAGAATATTGATAATCACTGTACTCACCAGCAGAATTTAGTGTGCAACCCCCGGCCAGGGGTCCCTCGGTGGTGCAAACAGTGAGCCCCTTACCTTCTAACTGAAAGGTTGCAGATTTGAGTCCACTCTGGTAGCGTAATGGTTACGAATCGGGCTGCGCACCTTAAGGTCAGCAGTTCGAAACTACCAGCTGTTCTGAAGGAGAAAGATAAGGCTTTCTGCTTCTGTAAAGATTTACAGCCTTGGAACCCTGTACATCGGGTCACTATGAGTCAGAACCAACTCCACAGCACATAACTACTACTTCTAGAGGCTCTGGAAGAAAGGCCTAGTAATCTATGTCTGAAAGATCAGCCACTGAAAACCCTACGGAGCACAGTTCTACTCTGACACACATGGGGTCAAATCAGAGTTGACATGAAGGCCAGTCCTCATGCAAGTTTTGCAAGTATGATCCCAAAGAATCTTCATGAAAACCCCAGGGAGACAGTGCTCTTGTTTTCCCGTTTTAGGAAGGAGGAAGTCAGAGCTACACTGCTTCAGCCAGGATTTGATCTCTCCTCTGCCCTGGCACCCCATGGGCATTCACCAGTGTGGCCTGCAGATAGGCAAGGCTCTGCCTAAACCCAACATGCAGACTGGAGTTCATTGATCTCAAAAACCCTTCAGCCCCAACTCTGCAAGATAAGACCCTGGCTGTGGTGCACACACCCTCAGACCCAGCTTTATTTCTGGCTAGCCTGGGCAGCCACCCCCAGGAGCAGGCCCAGTAGGTAGTGGGGTCAGTGCAGCAGGGAATAGGCAGAGAGAAGCTGCAGCTGGACTGGACCAGGGGACTGGAAGGGCAAGGCCAAGCCAGGAGAAGGTGAGGCTGCAGGTTGGAAAGGAAACAGATTGGGGAAGGAAATCTTGACCAGGTACAGTGATGACGTCTGTCAGGGCAGGAGCCAGAGCAGGAGACGAGACTGAGGTTCAAGGCCAGGAGCCAGTCAATCATTTCTGGATATATAACTTTGCAGAAAAATTATCCACGTGAGACCATGGGGCCAGTATCCAGGAAAAATCAGAGTCAGGTGAGGCCAGGACAGAAAACTGACAGAGAAGGTATGACAAGCTTGGGCAGGGGAGAGTATTGCGAGAGGTGGGAGGCGGATAGTTAATAGAGTAAGAAATAAGATGGCCCAAAACAGGAGGAGGTCCCAGCCCCACTGCTCTGCATGACGCCCCACCCCCCTACACACACCAAATCACAATGGCCACGCCTCTAATTTCATCCAACACTAATCACAGGCAGCCTTGTTATCTGAACTCAAGAACTCTATAGAGCTGGATCAATTTTCAGGTAAGTCCTTTGCTCTCTGAAATTCCAGAACCAAACAGACTGGAGAGTATGGGATAAGAAGAGATGCTTGTGTTTGTGTAAAATCTGGGAATGCCACAAGGGCAGCCAACCTCCATTTGCTCACCACATATCCCCGGCCACCCACCCCCACCCCCACAGCATAAGCAGAACAAGAAGATCACATGGTGGGGACTATCCAATGGACACATAGCTCCTGCAAGTCTGCTCTGGGTCAGGACCCCTAAGGATGAAGGAAAGCTTCCAGGGACACCAGGACCCTGAAGTGTGGCCAAAGGCATTCTGTAAGGGGTTAAGGACCCAAAGGTTGTAGCTCAGCCTCACATGGGAACTGGGTATGTTCAGCGTAAGTTTGGCAGCAGAGGGAGACCATGCTGGAACAGGCTGTGGGATGGCTGCTTGGCAGGGGTAGACCAGAGCACATTTTTGAGAGATGTCCTAAGACACTTTGGGAAGAACTACCACATGTTTGGCACAAAGGCAATGCCATAGGAACTCAGAGATGGGGACTCAGGGCACTGTAGGGGTGAGCCTCAGAGGGACTTAAGAGACCGGAAGGACTTGGGAGCAAGCACAGGGAGGGCCAGCCTGAACATAGGGCTTGGAGAGGAGAAGCCCTACACAGGATCACCTTGAGTTTTGCTGGAAGACTCAGACTCACCCCACTGCACCGGAAGGTCCCAAGGGCAAGGCCAGGCTCGCTGCTCCACCTGCTGCTGAACAGGGAG